ATAAAGCCAGACATGCAAAGACAAAAGAAAATGGGATAGAAACACAAAGAAAAACACTCAGGGACAGAGATGGCGGTGCAGAGACAGAGGGACAAGCCCAGAGGGCAAGAAAGAGATTTAGAATAGGAGTGAAGGATTCAGTGAGTAGCCCACGGGGCCAAAACGGCCAAGGAGCTCAGTCTTGCCCCTTCCATAGGACTCTGGGGTTCCAGGGAGCCCAAGGGAGGTCGCATACCTGGTTCAGGAGTCCAGTGCCAGCAGGTCCTCGGAATAGTGTGGCCAGGTGCTCAGAGGGCCCCCCCAGCCCATTGGGGAGAGAGGAGTAAAGGCCATCTGCCCCAACCGGAGGTGGGGCTGGCGGCCCGTGTAAAAGGCCCTGGCTGCCAGGCAGAGCTGAACCTCCTCCCGCTGGGAGTGGGTCTGAAGTGGAGGCCTCCAGCCGCAACTTGCGGTTGGAGCCAGGCCCAAGAGCTGGAGTGGGCCTGGGAGGAGCGACCCCACCCAGGTCCCAGCTCCGACTCAAGCCTCCGGGAGCAGGTAGCCCATTCAGTGGCCTCACGCTGGCCTTCTCCACAAAGCGGAATATGACTACGGAACTCCGGGCCCCTGGTGGAGGCTGCCCAGTGGGTGAAGAGGGTGCCCAGGGTGAGGGAGCAACACGGGGTGAAGGGGGGCCACGCAGGGGTGTCGAGGGTGCTGTCACACGTCCCAGTTCCCGGCCTCGGGGACCTGGACCTGCCACCCGCCGTAGCAGGGAGCCCGTGCTGCCATACATGCTGGCTGGGGGACTCTGAGGCACAGGGCCTTCGGGGAGCCAGCGGCGTGGGCATCGTGGCGGGGAGATGGCACAGTCACCTTCAGAGCAGAAGCGCATGGCACCCTGGGCCATGCTGGGGCCCGGGGGTCAGGCTGGGGGGGCAGGGATGGCGAGGCCAGGCGGGGAGTGAGGGGGCAGCATGCTCTTCTGACGGGCCTGCAAGAGAGGAAGGGGAGCAGGGGGTGAACTGCCAGGGAGTTGGATGGTCAAGAGAGCAGAGACAGGGAGGGGAAAGCTGGCTGGGGCCACTGAGCACCAGGGGCCTAGCCCACCCTGGGACTATGGCATCATTGATCCCTGCCCTGGGGGTACGCAGGCCTCCTGCTTGGGCTACTTCCATGGAGGCCTGAGGAGAAAAGATTGTTCCCTCCAAAAGGACCCTGGATTCTCTCCTTCTGCCTGGGGACCCTGAGCATCACCTGGGGGCGGGGGGGGGGGGGGGGGGGGGGGGGCGGAGGAAGGAAGCTATGTTGGAAGCAAGGAAGTTGAGTGAGCCTGGAGTCTCTGTGGCATTTTGTAGGTACTACTGGTGTGGGGGGAGGGGAAGACTGCTGCCCCCACCCTCTGGGCTAGGAGTGTCAGCCAGCCAGCACTATCATGCAGCCACAGTTAGCTCCTCTTATGGAGGCCCCAATTCAGGCCCCCTGGAAAGAGAGGAAAAGGGAATTGGAGAAGGGGGATTATAGAGGGACCACAAGGAGCTTAAAGGCATAGGGTGAAGGGGAAGAAAAAGGCCTGAACAGAAGCCGCTACCCTTAATACATACATGATGGATGGGAAAGGGACATTTTTGTTCTTAATATAGGTACACACACTCATGCACACACACATACTTAAGGACCAAAATGTCATATACAGTTAAACACATTCAGAGGCTACACGCAGACAGGCACACATACACATTGCTCAGAGACACACCTTCACACAGCCTCACAGTCATAACAACTATGTGTCTCATGGGAAGGCACATGCTTGTTTTACACACAAAGAGATACCCAGATACACACAGAGGGACCCTCATTCTCTAATGCTCACAGATACATAGGCATATCAGATACAGAGACCCACTGGTCACAATTACACACAAATACAGGTGCACACTCACACCCATGCTTAAGCAGGGACACACACCCTCTCTCCCAACCCCCACCCGTCACTGGTCCCCGGCGGGGGAGACTGCACCAGACCCTTCTCCCCCCAGGGGTGACAGATTTTGTCCAGCCCAGGAGGCACCTCAGGGGGGAAAGGGGCCTCTTGTGGCAATGCAGGGTAGGGGCCGGGGTCAGGAGCAGCAACCCTGCTACTCAGGCTCCTGAAACTCACTTGAGGCCCCGCATCTCCCCAGTGCCACCCGGACTCAGTACTCACCGCCGCCGGCTTGGAGCTGGGGCCGAGGAGGGAGAGCAGAGGCCGGGCCCAGCTCGGCTGTGAAAGCAGCGCGGCTCCCGCTGGCTCCCGCTTTCTCCAGGCCCGCCCGCCTCTGCCTCTCAGTCCCTCCTCCTCCCTGCGTGGCTCCGGCAGAGCTAATCTCACCCCCTCCCAACCCCCGCCCTCTCCCAGGGCCCTGAGCCCTGGAGGCTGCGCTCCCCCCCCCCCCCCCCCCCCCGCACACACACACGTTAGGTCTCGGCTGGACTCTCCCGCCAACCCGAGACCCGCCCCTGACGAGGGGAGGATGTATGGAACCCGTTTATTTTCCTCCACCCTCACGTGCCCCACCCCGATTGTGTCCACGTTCCTCTCGCCACTGCCCCCTGAGCCACACGCAGGACCCAGCTTCACACGCGTGCCCCGCTCCAGACCTCACTCGTGTCCCTAGGAGGTGGCCACCTGACCTGTTACATGCCACACGCGCTCCCGCCCCCACGAGCTCCCGGCCGCGCCATGCGAACGGTTTGCGTGAAGAGAGCGGACCCGCCCCCTAAATCCCGGAGACCATCAATTTATGGAAGAGAGACTTGGGGTGCACCGCCTCGAACCCTCCGGGGTTCGGGGTCTCAGGCCCAGGAGACTCAACCCTGACCGCGCGCCCAGGATGCAGTAGGAGGTCCATCAGTCAGACTTCAGGAGGCACTTCCTTGATGCCTGAGCTCGGCGCCCGTTTAAAGATCAGAGGTTGGAAGGGATGACGCCGGGACTGCAGGTAGTGAGGTGCAGGCAACCCTGGTGCCCTTGGCCAAGGTAAAAGGGGGCCCATCTATTTTTAAGTAAGCGCCGCTAGAGTTCCTATGGCAACCGCTCTCCCAGAGAAAGCCCGGGCAGGCCGATGGTGACCTCGCAAAGAAGAAGGGGTCTGTTTGGGTGGTCGGGGGCGCGAGAACGTGCGAGGCGGGACGCACGGGGCTCACCGCGGGGAGGGGCGGCGCCGGCTCCGCGTGGTGCTGAAGGGGACAGCGCCAGGTTTGTCTCACTGCGCAGGCGCAGAGGCGCTAACAAAGCGGGGAGGAGGTGGCGGCGCGCGGCCGGGGGAGGTGCGCGCCCACGTGGCTCTATTTTAGCAGAGGTGGATCCTTCCAGCTATATCCTCCCCAAGCCGGCTGAGGAAGGAGTCAGTCCTCTCCCAAGTTGACCCTCTTTGATCCCTCCCCTCTGCTGGCTTCCCTCTTCTCACTGCATTGGGAGATGAAGGCATGTGGAAAGAATTCTGGGAACCCCAGGATGCTTTAGTTCTTTATTCCGCTTCGCTCCACTCTGGACAAGGCGCTTGCTTCCTCCCCAGGGCCTTGGTTTCATCTTTAAAATGGAGTGACAGCACAGACCTGCCCACTTTGCAGAGGTGCCGGGAGCCCTGATGAGATCGTGGATGGGAGGGTCACCCAGCTGGGGGACAGCTTTCAGCGACACCTGTAGCTCTCGGAGTCCTTCACACCCTCACCACCAATGGGTGATGGGGAAGGCATTGCTCCAGGGGTTCCCCGGTGCGGACCCTGGAACTAGGACCTGGGACGCCCTGAGAGGGCAGCTTAGAGTCTGAGGCCAGAGCTCAAGGGCGTCACTGCGCTACGGTAGCCCAGACCCAGACCCAGACCCAGACCCACAACGAAACCCCCAACGGAGAAGCACTACTCCTGGCGGCTGAGCTGAGCACTCTTCTCAGGACTTTAAACCTCCTAGGGAAGGAAAGGGACCCGGCTGGAGATGTAGTTCTTTATTTCATTTCATATTTCATTTCATTTCATTTCATTTCATTTCATTTCATTTCATTTCATTTCATTTGTTTCAGAGAGGAGGGGAGAGGGAAAGAGAGATAGAAACATGATGAGAGCGAATCATTGATCAGCTGTCTCCTGCACACCCTACACTGGGATCAAGCCCTGACCGGGAATCGCACCCTGACCTCTTGATTCATAGGTCCATGCTCAACCATTGAGCCACGCTGGCTGGGCGAGATGTAGTCCTTTTTTTCTTTTTTAATATATTTTATTTTATTTTATTTTTTACAGAGAGGAAGGGAGAGAAATAGAGAGTTAGAAACATCGATGAGAGAGAAACATCAATCAGCTGCCTCCTGCACACTCCCTACTGGGGATGTGCCCACAACCAAGGTACATGCCCTTGACCGGAATCAAACCTGGGACCCTTCAGTCCGCAGGCTGACGCTCTGTCCACTGAGCCAAACCAGTTAGGGCAGAGATGTAGTCCTTCTTAATGCGCCCTGCATCTCTTCCCCCAAGGTGTAAGCCCGTTCCAACTCGTCCAGGAGTGGAAGGGGTTGGATAGCTCTGTACTTCACAATCAACCAGGAATGGGAGGTTTGGGCAAATTTGCTTGATGAAGAAAAATGTAGCTTCACTCATTCAATTCATTTAACAATTATCGAGCACCTACTACATGCCAGGCATTAAGAGCATAGATAGTTTCTTCCCATTTTTCAAAGTCCCTAAAAGCAACCAGAGGGCAGAGGGTAAGCCCGGAACTTTGGAATTCCGGCTCTGCCCCTTCTGCGTTTGGCCTTGCTTGCTCCTCCCATCACCACTTCACTCAAAATCATCCACTGGCCCAAGGCAATAAAAGAAGCCAGTCTCTGCAGCAGCATCACGTTCTTCAGACTCGGGTCTCAAGCCCTATAGCGGAGAAGGCGAGATCTAATGTTACAGCACCGGTTTGTTCGGCCCTCCGTTTCGGTATCTGTCTCGAACGCTTTCCGATAGGATCCTCAGTGAGACGGCACTCGATTGAATCGGTCTGTCACTACTGCCCAAGGAGGCGGGTTCGCGGCAGCTGTTCCTAAGCCAAAGCGAAAAGACCTTACTGCGCACGCGCAGTAGACAGCCGAAGGAGCCACCGATGGAGCCGTCCGGAGGGGAGCAAGAGCTGGGAGCCGTCAGGTACCGAGCACCGAAGGGGCCGAGAGAGTGAAGAAGGACCTGGGGGAGGGGAGTTGACCCGGGACCTGGCCTAGGGGCCGCTCTTAGGAGCTAGGGCGCAGGAGCGTAACGGAGACGGACTCGCAGGTAACAGCGGTCCGGGGACGCCGCCGCCAACGCCCTTTTACCCACAGGCTCCTGGACCTGCCTTGGGAAGACGTGCTGCTCCCACACGTCCTGAGCCGGGTTCCGCTGTGCCAGCTGCTCCGGCTGCAGCGCGTCAGCCGCGCCTTTCGGGCCCTAGTGCAGCTGCACCTGGCGGGGCTGCGCCGCTTCGACGCCGCTCAGGTGAGCCGGGGGTGGGGGTGGGGAGAGGGGGGGACAGAGCTCCGCCCCCATCTGGGCACCGCCCTCGCCTTGTCTCCAGCCCAGTTCCCAGTCCCTCTGTCTACCCTTCCAGACCCCCTTAGCCCTCCAGGGGTGCCCTGGAAGAGAGCTACCTGCGGGAAGTACTCTCAAAGGACGAGTACCGGGTATCAAGTCCGAGGGCGCCTGGGGCGTGGGGTCTCTCCTGGGAGGGCAGGTGGCAAGCCCCAGAGGGCAGGCAGCTGCCAGGAGAGAACTCGTCTGGGGCGAATAGGCAGCGCCAGCCCCATCCCCCGCACCAGCTGAGAGTCGAGGTGCCTCCCTGCCTGCAGGTGGGTCCGCAGATCCCGCGGGCCGCACTGGCCTGGCTGCTGCGGGACGCCGAGAGGCTGCAGGAGCTGGCGCTGGCGCCGTGTCACGAATGGTTGTCGGACGAGGATCTGGTGCCGGTGCTGGCGCGGAATCCGCAGCTGCGGAGTGTGGCGCTGGCCGGCTGCGGGCAATTGAGCCGCCGCACGCTGGGGGCGCTGGCCGAGGGCTGCCCCCGGCTGCAGCGCCTGTCGCTGGCGCATTGTGACTGGGTAGACGGGCTGGCGCTGCGCGGTCTCGCCGACCGCTGTCCGGCCCTTGAGGAGCTGGACCTCACCGCCTGCCGTCAGCTCAAGGATGAGGCCATCGTGTACCTGGCGCAGAGGCGCGGCGCAGGGCTCCGAAGCCTCTCTCTGGCGGTCAACGCCAATGTGGGGGACGCTGCCGTCCAGGAGTTGGCTCGAAACTGCCCAGAACTCGAGCACCTCGACCTGACCGGCTGCCTCCGCGTTGGAAGCGACGGTGTCAGGTGCCTGGGCCTGGGATCAGTGGGATGGGAGGAGGGCAATTAGCCTCTAGGAGGAGGGATGGGCAGTAATCAAAAGGCAGAACTGGGGTTTCTCTACCACAGCACCCCCATTCCGAACAGGAAAGGCCTCTGGGATTGCCTCGACCAGAGAGCCCACAGTTGAGAAACTTTATTGAACCAGTATTTACACATTGGCAGTTTTCACCTACATAGATTTCTGGCTTTTCTTCAACCAGGGGAGTTGAGCAGTAACCCTTTTAAGAGACAGGAAGTCTCCAGTTCATGGAGGCATTAAGTATATAACCCCGATCCAGGCCCCCTTCCTTGTGTATGGAAGCAAAAAGTATGCCCCGAGATAGTGGGATACATAGGGCTTTGCTGGCTTCCCCTCCCCTGGGTGTAGCTCTTTGGCGCCCTCAGCCTCACCCCACACCTCCCCTAGGACTTTGGCGGAATACTGCCCTGCGCTGCGCTCGCTCCGAGTGCGGCACTGCCACCATGTGGCCGAGCCCAGCCTGAGCCGCCTGCGGAAGCGCGGCGTGGACATCGACGTGGAACCGCCGCTGCATCAGGCCCTGGTGCTGCTGCAGGACATGGCAGGCTTTGCGCCCTTTGTCAACCTGCAGGTCTGACCCACCCACTGATGAGGCACAGCTGGACTGTGTGTCCGGGCCTGACTATGAACTGTAGGAAACTGGACTGTGTGGGCCTCTGGTGAGAGGCCAATGCCCTACCCCCCCCCCCCCCCCGCCCCGCCCCCCGGAGCTTCAAATAAAGAGCTTTTTACCCCGTCCTGCCTGGCGCTGCCCTGTTGGAGAAAGGGGACAGACACAGTCCCCCAGCACCCCAGCTCTGGGGCAGAAATGATCAGAGTACACTCATCTCCTTGGGGCTACCTTTACTGTGCCCATGGGCAGCTCTGAGAAGCTAACATGGTGGAGAAAGGAGGTAAGAGAAGATGTAGAGAAGGGGTCAGGAGTTAGAGTGGGCCCTGTGTGGTGGTGTAGGGCTTCTGCATCCCTCTGGGATCTGAGCCTAGAAGGCTCTAGCGGAGTCTGGTGAACGACTCAGTGGAAGCGGTATTTTCTGGCCGGCTTGAGGTTGATGTATGTGGCCTTCATCTCCTCGGCCTCAGGGTTCCGCACATCTTTGAATCGCTCCCCCTTGGTACTCACTACCTGGTTGTCGATGTATCGGATCAGCTTCTTGGGGGCCTGCCAGGCAATCAGTCAGTGAGTAGCAGAAGCCAGGAGACAGTCTCACCCGCTCCACACCCCCTGCAGCCCCCGCTCTCACCTCCTTGGGAGCCATGGGCCGGTGAATCTTCTGATCCTCTGCACTATCCACCATCATGTACCTGCCAAAAACTGGCTGGGTGAAGCTCCTGCCATCTGGAAAACCCTTTAAAAGCCCAGCCCAGCCCAGTCCAGACTTACTTCTGCAGGATGAAGGACTTCAGCTCATCCTTTTGGGGGCCTCTGAGGCGCCTGGATAGGTCCTGCAGAGGGGAAAGCCTGGTCTAGACCCCAGGTCACCAGTAAGAGAAGTGTATGTGATAGGCCAGGGGTGGGGGCTTAACACTAAGGAGGAATGTAGCTGGGGCTACATGGGTTAGGGAGGGTATGGCAGAGGATACCTGGTTGGGGCCATCCCAGGCTGGAGGCCCCTCCTTCCCCTCTACCAGCATCTGCACAGCTTCTTCCAGGTCCCCCCGAGCTTTGGCCAGCACCCACTGGGCCTGCTCCATCGAACAGGTCGGGAACACCTCCAGGAGTACATCCACCCCTGACAGCAGCTCTTCCTCAGCACTGGCTGCCTATGGGCATAAATGTTGACAAAAGGCAGTACTTCCTCCTTTTCTGCCCCTAATTCCCTCATTGGTACCCGCCTCTACCAACCTCATCTTGAGTATCCCCAGCAGCAGCAGAAGCCCTGGTCTCTTCTTTGAGCTGTTCAGGCCTCTGCAGGGGCTCTGGGGAGATGGGTACGTGACTTTGGACCTCAGAACTCTGTGGTTGCAGGTTCTCTTAAAGAGACAGAGAGCACCAGGTTTGCCAGTGCTTTGGGGATAGGGGTTATAAGTCATCCAAGTGCCTGATCCCCAGACTCACCTTTGTTCCTGGCACCACTCAACTGCCCTGAGAGCTTCTGCATCATGTCCCCTATTGTACCCCTGAAAAGACAATGAGGGTGGTAAGAAGGAAGACAACTCTGCCTACCCTCCACAATCAGCTAGCACCCCGACTCCTGGCCCCAGGCAGACCCCACCTTGGGATATGGGCGAAGCCAGGCACATAGGCCTCCATCATCTCAGTGAAAGCCTCCATATCGAAGTTCTCCTCTGATGGACCTGAGGGGCCCAAATCCTCCAGGACCCCGAGCACATAGGAGAAGATGACCTCATCCAAGCCGCTGCAGGAACAAGTCAACCGTGGGTAAAGCACCGGATACCTCCCGCACTCCCACCTAGCTCAAGGCTCCAGCCCTCGCCTTTACGGGGCCCATGAGCCAGACCTCAAGCCTTGAGGCCAGAGAATATTCCACCCTCCCTCAGAGCTCTGGTCTCCCATTTGTCCAACAAATGGGACAAGGACAGGATAAGAAGTAAAGCCATACCAGCAAATCATACTCAGCCCTCCCCCACCTCAGGAATAGGGCCAAGTGTTCCCATCCCAGTCTTTCCATTGGCCATGGCCCAGATCCTGCCAGGCAGCTCCAACCCTGGCCCGAGTACAATGCTTCTAGGAGAGCTGCTTCTACCTGAGGTCAGCCTCTGGGAGGTGCGTCTGGACAAAGGCAAGGAGGGCTGCACTGACGATCCTCTCCAGCTCCATTCTCTCTCCTCTTCTGAAGGACACAGATGTAGGTTTATCAGGCCCTCTTCTGCCTGCCCCTACCCACTAGGCCCAGGGGCAGTCAGCTCCTCCCTCCTGTCCTGTGGAAACCATTTGTTAATGTTGCCCATAGCTTCCAGCTCTCCAACCCACCCCCGCACCCCCAAGCAGAGCCAAGCCCTCTCCCTGCCCATCTCTCCACCTCCTCCAGCCTGAGACAGGGCAGGGTACTGTGGCAGGGGAAGGTTCCAGAGTGGCAGTGCCCCTCACCCCTCCTGATGACCTCTCTCCATCTCCCCACCCCATGCCCTAGCAGCAGGCCCAGACCCAGTGTCAAGAAGCCAAGGTCTTGGGGTCACATGCCTCCTGGCTTAGGAATCCCATCACTGAGAGGGCCACTTAGCCCCCAAGTCTAACCACAAGGGGCCCATTGTCCAGCCCCCCAAGGAGCAGGCTTAAGAACTGAGCACAGCCCTCCCCCCCAAGAATGGCCACCCACCTTCTGGCACAAAGGGGCTTTTCTGGCTCCAGGGCCCAGATAGAAGGGGTAGTCTTCCATGAATTCTCTTCCCAACCAACCCTTGCCCTTTTAGTAGCTTGGGACTATCTACAAAGGACTTTCCATCTTCCTTTCCAAGGCCTATGGAGCCCTACAAGATCTGGCCTTTGCCTACCTCTCCAACCTTTCCATTTCTTCCTCTCTCCACTCCTGCCCCACTAGCCTCCTTGCTGTTCCTCAAACTTGCCCGGCTTCTTCCTCTCTCCTTTAGATATCCACATGGCTCATTCCCTCACCTCCTCCAGGGCTCTGCTCAAATGTTGCCTCTTCAGAGAGACATTCCCTGACCTACTGAAATATGTATTCCTCATACTCCTTAGTCCCTTACCCTGCTTTATTTTCTATATAGCTTTTACTACAGCTTAATGTTACTTTATGTTTATTTGCCTATAAACATAAAATAACCTACCTCATAGAACAGTGATGGCAAACCTATGACACACGTGTCAGAGGTGACACGCGAACTCATTTTTTTTGGTTGATTTTTCTTTGTTAAATGGCATTTAAATATATAAAATAAATATCAAAAATATAAGTCTTTGTTTTACTATGGTTGCAAATATCAAGAAATTTCCATATGTGACACGACACCAGAGTTAAGTTAGGGTTGTTCTTTTTTTAATATATATTTTATTGATTTTTTGCAGAGAGGAAGGGAGAGAGATAGTCAGAAACATCGCTGAGAGAGAAACATCGATCAGCCACCTCCTGCACATCTCCCACTGGGGATGTGCCTGCAACCCAGGTACATGCCCTTGACCGGAATCGAACCTGGGACCTTTCAGTCTGCAGGCCGACGCTCTATCCACTGAGCCAAACCGGTTTCGGCAAGTTAGGGCTTTTCAAAATGCTGAAACTCCGAGCTCAAAAGGTTCGCCATCACTGTCATAGAATGTACGTTTCAAGAAGAGGGAGGAGGGGAGGACTGTGTCTTATTCGTTGGTATAATCCTAACACCTAGAAAAATGTCTGCACATAGTTGGTGCTCAATAAATACTTATCAACTTATTTCATTCCCACCTACATGTGCATGACTCCAAAGTCTGTAGTTGGGAGTCAGGAACACATAGATGGGAATGAATGGCTCTAGGCACATAGGTCCAAATGTCCGCTCTCCATCCCACTCAGAGGCACCTTAAATTCTACCCACTCTGAACTCACTGCATCCTCCTAATATGTGTACATTCCCTCTCCAAATATGCGCCTTCTCCTGTTTCACCAGCTGATACAGCAACTCATTCACTCAGCTGCCAAACCTGAAACTTGGGGCTTATCCTTGATTCCTCCCTCTCTCAATCCTGCCTGTGTACTCAACCAATACCAAGTCCTCTCCATTCTATTCCCTTATTCGTTTCCATTCTATCCACTTCTCCCCAACTTGTCTGGTTTCTGCTCCGATATCTCAACATTTCTTAGGCTGGGTCATGAGTTACTTTTTCAGGTTTTGCTCTAATTAGGTTGAACCATATGAGCTTGCCAATATTGCCTGTTTTTTTATCTTGTTTTTTAAATATGTTTTTGATTTTAGAGAGAGGAAGGGAGAGGGATAGAGAAATAGAAACATCGACGAGAGAGAAATATCATCGATTGGCTGCCTCCTGCGCATCCCCTACTGGGGATTGAGCCCGCAACCCAGGCATGTGCCCTGACAGGGAATTGAACCATGACTTCCTGGTTCATAGGTCAATACTCTAACCATTCAGCAAACCAGCTGGGCTTGCCTGTTTTTTATTTACAAAATAAAAAGAAAGGCCTAGCCGGTTGGGCATGGCCCGAGGACTGAAGGGTCTTGGAATCGATTCCGGCCAAGGGCATGTACATCGGTTGCAGGCTCAATCCCTGACCCTGGTCGGTGCATGCAGGAGGCAACCAATCAATGTGTCTCTCTCACATCAATGTTTCTCTTTTTAAAAATCAATGGAAAAATATCCTCAGGTAAGGATTAACCAAAAATAAATAAATAAAAGAAAGGATATGGCCCTTTCAAGTAGCATCAATGTTGGTTTCTGAGGCATCACACTCTCCTGTTTTCCTACCTTTCTGGCCATTTCTTCCCAGAGTGCCCCCTCTGCTGCCCTGTCAATGTGGTAGCTAAGCTCAGGCTCAAAGCTGCTTCTCCTCTCCCCCCACTCCATACCCCCTCTCTCTCTGGAAGATCTCATCTGGGACCACATCTTTATGTTATTTTTTATTTTGTTAATCCTCACCTGAGTATATTTTTCCATTGACTTTTAGAGAGAGTGGAAAGGAGGGGGAGAGACAGAGAGAAACATCGATGTAGAGAGACATCCATTGGTTGCCTCCCTCATGTGCCCTGACCAGGGCCAGGGATCAAACCGCAACCAGTGCGTGCCCTTCACTGGAATCGAACC